AAGCGCCGCGTCGCACAGGCCCAGAGAGCTGTTGGGAGGGCACCGCTGGGCGTGCAGCCCCATCCCCCGGGCTGACTGCCGCAGGGCTGGGCTTGCACTTTCCCAGGTGCACTTCATCCTGCAAAACAGCTGAGCCCAGCTTGTGCAAGTGTCCTGGACAGACACCCAGCATGGACAAGGCAGGTGGCGGGGGGCACCGTGCATCTCCTGCAGCCATGGGACAGGCACGGGACACTGCCACCCCCCAGCTTCCCCGGGGCACAGGGCTGGCAAGGGGGGGCAGCAGGGGCAGCTGGCCTGGCCTGCAGCCCAGGGCATGGGGCAGCAGTGTCGCCAGGCAGGGAGAACTTTGAGCCTTGCGTGTTGTCCTGGGCCAGGGAGCTGAGCAGCAGCAGCCAGGCAAGCAGGATGGGGTAGGCCATCCATGGGCTTCCTGCCGGGTCCTCGGCCACAGTCCTGCATGCAACCGGTGCAGAGAGCAGCTGCAGCGCTGGCTCTGCCCATGATGCCCACAGGGGGATGGGGCCTTTGCTTGCACTTGAGGGTCTGCTCCATGTGGATGCCCGTGGCACCATGGCCTCACTGGGCTGCCCACAGGCACAGCCAGCCTGTGCCGGACACTGTCTCAGCCCTGTTCCCTCTCTCTGCAGAGCTCCAAGGTGGTGCAGGGGTTGACCGGCCTGCGAAACCTTGGCAATACGGTGAGTGCTTACCCAGGTACCTGGCTGTGTGGCCCCAGCTCACACCATGCTCTTCTGCGGGCACATCTGTGGGGCAGTGGGGAGCCTTGTCCCTTCGCCTTGCCCCCCTCGAGAGCACCCACACTCTCGCCCCGACAGCTCCCTGCACCCCGCTCCCGACAGTGTTGGCTGAGGAAGGGGTTCCTGTGCTCTGCACTGCTTCGTCCCTATCCTCTGCCCACCCGCCCCAGGTGTCCTCCTGCCACTGCTTGCCTCCCTCTGAATCCCGTTGCCATGGTTTTCTCTTCTGCCTCCCCCAGTGCTTCATGAACTCCATCCTGCAGTGCCTGAGCAACACCAAGGAGCTGCGGGATTACTGCCTGCAGAACCAGTACCTGCGGGACCTCAACAACAACAGCCGCATGCGCACTGCGCTCATGTCAGGTAACCGTCAGTCACTGGCCCCTGGCTCCGCATCCTGCAGGGCTTCCCTGCAGCACGTCCTTGCTCTCCTGGGCCACCCCATGTCCTGGGGGACCCCCACCCAGAGGTCGGTGCTTCTCACCAGCCTTGCTGGGGCAGGAGCTCTACTGTGGGTGCCTAGCCAGTGAGAGGATCAGGTCCTCTCTCCAGAGGGGACAGGGCCGGCCACGGGGACCTCGGTGTGGGGTGCTGAGCTCTCTTCTGGAGGGCACAGCAATGCCATGCCACCAGGGCTGGCCGGGACCAGCTGTGCTGCTGACCTGCCTCTCTGCCCACAGAGTTTGCAAAGCTGATTCAGCTGCTCTGGACCTCGTCTCCCAACGACAGCGTGAGCCCCTCTGAGTTCAAGACGCAGATCCAGAGATATGCCCCCCGCTTCGTTGGCTACAAGTAAGGGGTGTTGATGCAGGGGTAGCAGGGGGGAGCTGAGCCCCTGCCACTGCTCACCGGCCGTGCCCCTTGTCTTGCAGCCAGCAGGATGCACAGGAGTTCCTGCGGTTCCTCCTCGATGGGCTGCACAGTGAGGTGAACCGTGTGCTGGTGCGGCCACGGGCCAGCACGGACACCCTGGACCACCTCCCGTAAGTGCTGGCTGGGGCGGAGGCAGTGGACGAGCCCCATGGACGAGCTCACTGCCTGCAAGCCCGGCCCAGGGACAGTCACCATGTGGGTCCCTCTAGGCTGGGTCACGGGGGCTGGCATCCCCCAGGCCACACTCAGTACCACTGTGTCTCCCCATCTCTTACCAGTGATGACGAGAAGAGCCGCCAGATGTGGAGGAGGTACCAGGAGAGGGAGGACAGCCGCATTGGCGGTGAGCAGGACAGTGGGGAGAGGAGGACAGGGCTGGGCTGGGAGTGGGACTGGGAACCGGGGGTCTCACCCTGCTTTGTCCCATCCCCACCAGACCTCTTTGTTGGGCAGCTGAAGAGTTCACTGACCTGCAGCGAGTGCGGCTACTGCTCCACAGCCTTCGACCCCTTCTGGGACTTGTCCCTGCCCATCCCCAAGGTAAGGGGTCCCCACTGACCCCCAGCTCCCTGCCCCGCACACCCTGTCCCTGACACACACTGTGCTCCCACAGAAAGGCTACGGGGAGGTGACCCTCATGGACTGCCTACGGCTCTTCACCAAAGAGGATGTGCTGGACGGGGATGAGAAACCGGTACGGGGTGTGGGGCACAGTGACAGGTGGGCTTGCCTTGGTGCAAGCTGGGCCCCTTTCCCTCCATGCCTGTGTTGCCAGGACTGTGGGCTCGGTGCCTGGTGGGCTTCGCCTCTGCCCTCACCCTCCTGCTCGTGCTGTTTGTCTCCCACAGACATGTTGTCGCTGCAAAGCCAGGACGAGGTGCACAAAGAAATTCAGCATCCAGAAGTTCCCCAAGATCCTGGTGCTTCGTATCCTTCAGGCGGATGGATGGGGCCAGGGGGTGCTGTGGGGCGGCAGGCAGTTCTTTTCAGGCTTCCCTTTGTCCCTCGGCTCCTTGACATGCCCCCCCAGACCTGAAGCGCTTTTCAGAGGCCAGGATACGAACGAGCAAGCTCAACACCTTTGTCAACTTCCAGCTGAAGGACCTGGACCTCCGGGAGTTTGCCTCGCAGAGCTGCAGTGAGTGCCAGGCCCTGTGTGGCTCCAGCCCAGCCCCGGGCTCCCGGTGGCTCCCGGCTGGGTCCCTCATGTTCCCCAGGGTGCTGCAGCCTGCGGCAGGTGGCAGAGGCACAGGGGGTGTGAGCTGCAGACATCCAGGGTGCCAGTCCCTCGTGGCCCCAGCTCCGTACTGGCATGTTGGGGGGCAGCAGGGCAGCAGCTGGCATGGCTGAGCACCGCCCTTGGTCCCTGCAGATCACGCTGTTTACAACCTCTACGCCGTCTCCAACCACTCGGGCACCACTATGGGGGGACACTACACCGCTTACTGCAAAAGCCCCGTCTCCAGCGAGTGGCACAATTTC